ATTTGACTTCTATCCTAAAGGTTTGTGATTCAAATCTATCCAGAAGTGCTACAGAGTTTTTAAAAGACCTAACAATCTGCTTCCATGGATGTTAGCTAAGAAAACCCTGTGGACCGATTCTACTCTAACCCATGTGGGGTGTTTTATGGTTTATTCCAAAAAGGCAAGATTGGTTCCGTATCAGGAAATGTGTTCCTATTATTTCCTGCATTAAGAAAAGAAGTCATAAAACCACATAATCCTATCAATAGATTGTTTTTAAGTGCCTACTCATAGTGACCCTGTATAGGGTTCTTGAAGGGCAATTGGTAAGTTTGAACCACCGACCTTGCATAGCAACAGATACCCAAATGATATTATTATTAATAAAATATACTGCCCAATCCAGATTTTTTAAAAACCAATGAATTTTTAGCAAATTAGAAATAGAAGGAAATTTCTTCATTTGATAAAAATGGCATACTGAGGACATATGCATAAGAACACCCACACTTGCAGATAATACCCACTTATCCTGGCTTCAGTGACTGGATGATCAGAGCTCAACCAGAAGTAAAAAGAAGAAGAAGAAGAAAAAAAAAGTATTCTCATACAATTTGATGAACTTGACCTACACCTTTGGAAGCAGTAGCTCAAAAGAGGGAACAAGTCCTTATAGCAAGAATCATTCCCACCCCCTCCACACACAGAGTAGACAGGGATGGGCAACTTGGACATTGGTTACCCAAAATGGGGGGCGGGGTGCTACAAAGGCAAGAAGTGACTGGCTTACAAGCTTTCAAGAGGGAACCTAGATCCAGAGGTCCTGGAGGAAGGTAGAATCTCCAGTGAGTAGTATTCAATCTGCCTAGGCGGGGCTGGTGAAATGAAATGCAGATGAGGCTCTTGTGATACAATAGTGAATAATTGTTATCAGGACTGATTGTGAGGGTTGGAAATGTAAAGGTAGACGTTTTGTAGCAAGGAGGGGAATGATTAACTTTTCAGTCTAGGAGTGGAGCTGAGCATCAAGGGAGAAGAGCAGAGAGCGGGACCCTACCCAGAGAAGCAGTGATGCCTGAGATGGAGGCAGAGATGATGACGTGGAGAGATGGAGCAGCTGGGGACTTCAGATCCAGAGAGGGAGAGGAGCTGTGTGTTGATGACTGGGGGGCAAGGGGGAGCAGGCTTGCAGGGTATATCCTCTGGTTGTTTGATGATGCATGGAGGGGATTGCAACCATGGCAATGAAAAGATATACGATAGGATGAATGTAAAACTAATGTTCTCCCATGTAAACTATCACATAATTCACAATAAAACATTTAAGAAAAAAAAAAATGGCATCTACCAAAAACCTGCAGTAAACCCTATTCAATGGTGACCACGAGAAGCGACCTCATTAAAGACAGGAGTAAAACAAGCAGTCAGGCTATGACTGTTATTATTCCGTAGTTAAACTGATTGTCTTAGCCTAGTAACTGGTTAGAATGCATACTGTAAAGGATGAAACAAAGTTGCCATTGTTTAAAAATGATTTGAATGTTTCTCTTAAGCTCCAAGAGAAAACTGAAAACAAGCCAAAAAGCCATGAAAACTCTTATGACGATAATAAACTAACATATAAAACCAAGTTACAAACACTGCAAGCTTTCCTGCAGATGCCAGGAACACCCGGAGAATAGACTGGAGGAACAAAAACCTTGTACAATTGCCAGAAGTTTGCATTCTGAAATGCCTAGGAAGGAACCTCTTAAGAAATATGTATGACTTATCAGAAGAAAATTACTCATTTTGTTGAGAGGAAGGTCTTGGATAGGTGGAGAAACAGACCCTCTTTCTGTAGTGTAACTGCAGTGGCTCCAAGTCATGCTTTAAAAAAAAGAAAAAGCTACTTAGAAGTATTTCTATTATGGTGAAATTAGTTTATATTTTATAAGCACTGAATCTGAACCATCTACCTTGTGGTTCAAACCGACCTTGTGTTCGAGTGCTTATCCTACAGCGCCACACCAGGACACACACACACACTCTCTATATATCTATATAGATATAGATAGTTGTTAAGTGCCGTGTAGCTTTTCCAAGGCTTTAAATCTTTGTGAGCCTCATCTTTCTCCCATGGAGCAGCTGGTAGATTCAAACCACTAACTTTGCAGTTAGCACTAGATTGCAAACCACAAGGTATATGTGTGTGTACACATATATAGCCCATGATATAAATATTTGGATTCAAAAACTTTGTGGGAACAATTCCATTGCCTTTTCATAAACTTTTCATAGCCTCCTCACACATAGCCATACACAAGGGAGCTTCACAGTGTTTATGGAAAAATGGCATGAAAAGATAATGTGATTTGTCCCTGGTTCTCTGAAGCTCCCTCATATATACACAGCATTTGCCATTTACACCATTTTTACACATACAATTCAGTGACATTAAGTACATCCACCATATTGTGTAACTATCACCATTCTGTTTTAAATTTCTTCATCACCCATAACAGCTCAGTGCCCCTTACGCAATATTCCTCTCCTCTTCTTCCCCCTACAAAGAACAACATTTAATTTGGCAAGGACTTACTTCTTTGTGGCTTGCTTTGGAAGTACAGTAGATAAAACTAGCCAACATTTTTTCTCATTTCACAAGTGAGAAAACCAAGGCTTTAAGTGAGTTTGTGGCATGGCAAGTCAGTTCACAATTTACGAGCCAAAGCCAACTCTGTAATGTCTGACTCTTGATTTAATGGTTTTATAGTGGCTGCAAGACCAGGCAGTGTGTCCTTCTGTTGTGCATAAGGTCACTATGAGTTGGAACTGTCTGGGTGGCACCTAACAACCATCCACTTTCCAGATTCTCTTCATGCCAGGGTATATTTATGTGTTTAAAAATTAAACTGTGAATAGAATTAGCAGATGGAGCTAATTCTTCTTTTTGGTAACTGAGGACCATTAATTTAGCAAATGGTTAGATGCATTCACAGTAGAACCCTATGGCTGCTGTTTCTGTGTATATAAACTAAGTCAAGTTCACAAATGGTGCAGGAAAAGGACTGTTGATCCAGAGAGGGAGAGTTAGAGATGGAAAGGAAGGAGTTATGAGCTCTACACACACACACACATACTCTTCATAAAAGATTGAGTAATTGATAAGTTTTGGGATTTTGGCTCCGTACTTACAACCAGTATAAATGACTTCAGAGCTGTGGGCATGCCTCATCTTCCTTCCTGTGTGCTACCCTCCAAATGGAGTCCTGGTGTGGTGCTGTGGGTTAATTCGCTAGACTGCAAGGTTGGTATGAACTACAAGATTGGCAGTTCAAGCTCACCAGCCGCTCCTCAGAAACCCTATACAGGGTTGCTATGATCAGAACCAACTCAATGGCACTTAACAACAACAATAACAACAACAACCCTCCAGATAGATTTTGAGCTATTTGAGAACAGGAATGAATGACATCATCTGTGGCTACCTAGTCAACTTCTGTTGCTTTGGGCATGAGCGGGTATCGATCCAGCCTTGACCTTGATTCATGAATCATTTGGCTTACAGTGCCCCAGTCACAGACTGTTCTGAGATGCCATTGCTGACTCAGGATTACATTTGTGTTCCAGAGCTTCCTACAGAGATGGTGTGGGGTTAAAGAAGCTGAGGAAGCAAAGCAGGGTGTTGCTGATCCTCAGGGAAGTTTGCAGCTTCTCTTTCAATACCCTTTGTGCCCTAGGCTAGCTGGCTATGGAGGAAAGAGGCAGTTGGGAGGACCATAGGAGAAAACAGGGGAGCACAGAGAAGAGGAATGGAAGGAAAAACCTAAGCCCAGAGTATCTGGACAAGAGGAGTGGCTATGGCCCCAGGTGGCCAGAAAGAAAGGAAAGCTCCTGGTTAAAAGGTTCTCTCTAGTCTTGGGTTGATTAAGATTTGTAATTATTATCAATACATGATATTTAACACCTATCAATGCCTTGTTATTGTTATTAGTGGCTGGGGTGTCAGCAACGACTCATGGTGACCCCATGTACAGAATGTCTGGTCCTATACTGTCTTCATCATGTTGGTCTGTTTGTATCAGTAAGCTGTCACTGCCACTGTGTAATTTAAGTGCCTTCCAACCTAGGGGTTCCTTGTCCAGAACTATGCCAGACAATATTCTATTGTGATTCATAGGGTTTCCACTGATTTTCTGAAGTAAATGGACAGGTCTTTCTTCCGAATCTATCTTAGTCTATAAGTTCCATTGAAACCTGTGTACAATGGGTAATTCTGCTCATATTTGAAGAACTAGTGGCATCTCAGCAAAGTGAAAGCCTCCACAGTTCAACAAACCACAGATGAGTAGTGGATTGGTACCTTACTAGCATCTCCTCGAACCCTTGTCATCCTGGTGATGATTTTTAGGTTCTCTTATCACGTGTTTTCATTGCCAGCTTGGTAGACTTTGAAAGAGATTTTTAGTAAAAAGAAAGTCTGTTGAGAGTCTGTTGGGTTCTAGATACCATTAGATGAAAGCAAATGTCAGAAATGTCATCTGGATCTTCAGAGAATTTCTCAATTGTTGGGAGGAGACAGTTGGTGGCCAGAAGCTATTGGAGAACAGTATCCTGGGATAGACAACCAAACTCTAAACTGCACAGTGGAGAGTGTGTGTGTCCCATTGGAGAAAATTCACTGACTAAATTAAAACAGATGGAAAATCTTTCTGTGGCAGGTGTTTTGCCAGGTTAGGTATATGAAGGTGGAGGAAATTTAGTTCTTGGCCATTTAGAACTTGTAATAAGGAATTTGATTAGCAAGCAATTACGTAGTACAACAAGTTCTACAGTAGAAATATGAAGAGTGTGGTAGGAGAAGGCAGATCTGGACCCCACAGTGGAGTCTACTGTCTAAGCAAAAGGGAGGTTATTAGAAGGAGGTCTGTTTTTCTGCTTAAAATAACAAGGAAGAAGACCATATTGAATTGTGCTGATTGTAAGGTTAATGATAGACCTTAGCCCATAACTTTACTTTCTTTTTTCCCCCACAGTGTCAAATCAACAGTGCCTTGACATCTTTCCACACTGCTCTGGAACTTGCGGTAGACCAGAGAGAGATCCAGCATGTGTGTCTGTATGAAATTGGTAAATATGAGATGTTTATCCCGCTTCTTGTTCTGAGATACTATCAATGCCGCTTGTGCACTTTTTCGTTACTAATGCTCTTGCCTACCAAAATAATGACTTTGCTATTGGAGAATATGCAGTGGTATTTATCACTCTGATTCTCATTACTGCTTTCATGTATTTTGTTCTTTACAGCATTTTGATTTTAGATAATGTTAAATGAAGCAACTAATAACCATTTAGAGCTAGCCAATTGGACCGCACGTGAGAATTCAAAGCTATTTGTCTACCTGACATTAAAAATAGGGCATAGAAGAGAGTTGTTGTTGTTGTTGTTATGTGCCATGGAGTCGGTTCCGACTCATAGCGACCCTGTACAGGGTTTCCGAGTTTGTAAATCTTTATGGGAGCAGAAAGCCTCATCTTTCTCCCGCGGAACAGCTGGTATTTTCGAACTGCTGACCCTGAGGTTTCCAGCCTGATTCGTAACCACTACGCTACCAGAAGGCAAGTCCATTCCAAATCCAGCTCTTCCAGCAATCCGTCTGAGTCCTTGGACAAGTTTGCCAAGCCCTCTGAGCCACATTGTTACTATTGGTGTTAAACTGCCTTCCCCCATGGCACTTGTGAGTTTTGAATGAAATAACATTTTATGAAGCATCTTGTAAGTGCCTGGGAACCAGAAGGCACTCCAGAAATGTTAGCTGTGCGTCCTTCTGCTTCTCTCTAGGAGATGTGTATACACAGACTTGGAAGTATTTATTTAAGATTTTCCCCCTCCTTCTCCAAAGTTGTTGCTCTGAGTCTTTTACAGACATCTCTACAATTCTCCAGTACTAAGTACATTAGTAATGTCATGATCCTCTGACGTAGCAGTTGCTCCGTTAAGCTGAGAACTTTGAACTTGAAACAAACAAAAAGAATAAGAGTTTCCTATGTTTTAGAGTTAAACTTAATACTCTGAGGCCACATCATGTAACACATAGAAAAGAGTCAAAAATAAATAAATAAATAAATAAATGATGACAGGCATCAGTTAGGTCAGGACCCTACGGTGTCTATCGATTGTTTCGCCTGCTGTGGGCATAACTGTGTACCTGAATTATGTTTTAAACCGTTTATCCTTCATCAGAGAGAAAATAGAATCCACGGGAAAATGTATGTATTTGTATGTAATCTAAACTCGGTTGACATCTGTTTAGTGACTATAATATAGAATTAAATGTATTTCAAAGAACTTGGGGGGGGAAAGCCTAGCATTGGTGACTTTTTTTGTTGTTGTACATTATTTCAAGGTCCTGATGTGGCGCCATAGGGTAAGCACTGGACTACAGGTTGGCTTGAACTGCAAGGCTGCTGATTCAAACTCACCAGCCACGCCTCAGAAACCCTATAAAGGGTCACGTTGAGTTGGAACCAACTCAGCTGTACTTCACCACAACATGGCAATATAGAATGTTAGAGCTCAAGGATGTTAGAAAACATGTAACCTAGCACCCAGGCACTAGAAAGGTTAAATTCCATAACCAAACCAAACCTACTGCCATAAAGTCTCCTTTAAATCAGAATCTGGACTTCTTATTAAAATTCCTGGTGTGACACTGTGGGTTAATGCACTGGACTGCAAAGTTGATTTGAACTGCAAGGTTGGCAATTCAAGTTCACTAGCCACACCTCAGAAACCCTATGCAGGGTTGCTATGAGTCAAAACCAACTTGAAGGCACTTAACAACATTGACATTCCTGGTATGGTTCTATAGGATCAGCACTGGACTGCGAACCACAAGGTTGGCAGTTCAAACCCACCAGCTGCTCTCTGGAAATCCTACACAGGGTTACTATGAGTCAGAACCAGCTAAATGGCACTTAACAATAACAATGACATTGCATGCTCCTTTCCATCTCTATTTTGTATTTCATTCTAATCTTATATCTGTTATAGGATATCTACATCTTGCGATTCACTGTTGTTGTTGTTGTTAAGTACCATGGAGTCGGCTCTGACTCATAGCAACCCTGTACAGGGTTTCTGAGGCTGTAACTCTTTATGGGAGCAGAAAGCCTCATGTTTCTCCCGTGGAACAGCTGGTAGTTTCGAACTGCCGACCTTGAGGTTAGCAGCCTGATTCTCAACCACTACGCTAGCAGAGCTCCTTCGAGATTCACTGTAGAATGAGAATAATTAGCCCCAAATTTTACTCTAGTTTCATATATCCCATAGAATATGACAATGTATTTACTGGAGTATGGATTCCTCCCCCTGCTCCCACCTCACCCTCTATAGATTAAATGGCACATCTAAGGTCTACAAGTATTTAATGACACGACTGAGAGCAGAATTTTCTTTTTATGGAGACAGTAATGTAAAAAGGAAGAACTTTGACCTATTTGTGATTCTTCCCTCTTAGCTGTGTGGCTTCAAGCAAGTTACAAAACCTCTTGATGTATTCGAGCTTCTCATTGGTGAAATAAGGATGCCATCACCTGTCTTTAACAGGTTGGAGGGAGGGATAGTAGTAGTAGGTAGTTGTGTGTCGTGGAGTCAGTTCCGACTCACAGGAATCCTCTATAAGGTTTCTGAGGCTGTCAGTCTTACAGGAGAAGAGAACCTCATCTTTCTCCCATGAAACAACTCGTAGATTCAAACTGCTGACATTAAGGTTAGCAACGCAGCACGTCAAACACTACATTACCAGTCGTTCTGGTATGGTGAGGTGGGCTAATGCACTGGACTGCAGAGTCAGTTTGAACCACAAGGTCGGCGGTTCAAGTTCATCAGCTGCTCCTGGAAAACCCTGTACAGGGTCACTATGGGTGGGAACTGACTCAACGGCACGTAACAGCAACAGTGAGGTTACCCGTGGCTGCCAAGTTGATTCAGGCTCATAATGACCACATAGAGCAGAGTAGAACTGCCCCATATGTTTCCTAGACTGAATCTTCATGTAGTAGACTGCCACATCTTTCTTCTGTGGAGTGGCTGGTGGGTTTCAACTGCCCAGCTTTAAGTTAGCAGCCAAGAACTGAAACACTGCACAGCAAGGGCTCCTATTACAAGGGTTAAAGAGAGTATATAAAGTGCTAGCACACACTTGTGTCCTCAGTGGCCTGGAGAAGGACAAGTTGCTTGGGAAAGTAGAGGGTCAGTGAGAAAGAGAAAGACCATCAATGAGATGGACTGACACAGTGGCTTCATAAAGGACCCAAACATAACAATTGTGAGGATCATGCAGGAACGGGCAGGGTTTTGTTCTGTTGTACATAGGGCCACTGTGAGTCAGAACTGACTCAATGGCACCTAACAGCAACAACACGACTCAATGAAGTGTTTCTTTCTACATGGGATCGCCATGAGTCAGAACCAACATGATGGTCCACAACAGCTGCTGTTAACAGGAACCGTGGGAGCACGTGGCTGCTAGCACAGAAGTCAACCCCAATCTGTGATTGAAAGATGTGGCAATCTGCTTCTGTAAAGGTGACTGTCGGGGTTTGACCTCGCCATAGTTGTGTTGTTCACGAATGTTTGGTTCACGAGGAGGGGAGATCCAGCGGCGATAGGGATAACGAAAGAATACACAGACAAACAGAAGAAGGGAGACAATGAGGCACCCCAAAGCCAGGGTGGATACATCACTGGTGGGCAAGCTTGGGACTACAGGCATC